CGGTCGACCGCGACGCTCTGTCGGTCGACCGCGACGCTCTGTCGGTCGACCGCGACGCTCTGTCGGTCGACCGCGACGCTCTGTCGGTCGACCGCGACGCTCTGTCGGTCGACCGCGACGCTCTGTCGGTCGACCGCGACGCTCTGTCGGTCGACCGCGACGCTCTGTCGGTCGACCGCGACGCTCTGTCGGTCGACCGCGAAGCCGCAGCGGTCGACCGCCAGCCGCGTAATAGAGAGCGGTCGACCGGTGCGGTCGACCGCCGCTCTGTCTGTTGTATAACCCCTGTTTTGTGTATTCTGGGGTATTTCACTCATGTGCGAGAGTTCGCCTGGATTATCTGACATTGGTTTTAGTCTTATTATGTATCCATGCATGATAGGTGACCTGAGGGTATAAATTGGGACTTACACACTGATTTGAGTGTGGATTGATATAAGTAGGTTTTTCTGTATATCTCAGTCCTCGTGTTGGACAAGCATTACCTTTTAGTCCTCGTGTTGGACACCCTTCCCACTTAGTCCTCGTGTTGGACATGCAATGCTATTTAATCCTCGTGTTGGATATGCATCACATCCGGTCCATACGTTGGACAACGGTCACATCCGGTCCATGCGTTGGACAACGGTTATTTTCAGTTCATGAGTTGGACGTTTACTTCATGCAGTCTATGGGTTGGACGTTTAATTTATATAGTCTATGTTTTGGACACTTAATCGTTTTCTGACATGTCACTCATGTGAGTTTGACATGACACTTATGTAGATTTTGACATGATATTCATGTAAGTAATAACATGATACTCATGTGGGCTATGTCACAACACTGTTTTCATGCTCTGGTGTTCGTCGTATTTCTTTTATTAATATTACTGCACTAGAACCTTGGGTTTGGTATTTAGGAGTTTACAACTTGAGATGTAAGGTATATACATGAGGGTTTCCTTGTTTGGATTATTTCGCTCGACGTACCTATGCTCGTGTTGTAAATTTCTAAATACTAAAACCCTCTTTAGTAAGATCAATAATTTTTGATCTCTTATATATTAACTGTATTTTCTTATACAACGAGCCCTGTTCCCTTGGGGTTGGTTGTGATGTTACTCGCTAGCGCTTTGACGCTCGTTGTCCCTCCCCCTTTTAGGTAACGAGCCAGGAGCCCGGAGAGTCGTAGACTGATGGTGATGCATTTTAGCTTCAGCCATCTCTTTAGTTATATTTTCTTTTGGAGTTCCACAGTAGATTTTTATTTAGACATTTGAGAGTCTTGTTCTAGAAGTTGTAAAGGTTGTGTGTCTTATTTCCTTTTCGTCAGATATTTGTATTTGAGACTTGTTGAGTATTCCAGTTTATCTACTTAGATCTTGGCTATGTATTTCTGTATGTGGGATGATGAGATATTTATGTGACTGTTATCATTCCATCAGTATATCTTGTATTATCTTTTACCTGTTTTGTACCTACACCAGTTGTTGACTCTACTAGATAGATGTTAATTGTGATGGTGAAACATGTTATTGCACGGTGTGGTGCATGGCAGGTTTGACATTCTTGGTTTCATCTTGGACTGCAGCCTTGTGTGAACCCAGGGGCGTCACACTTTATTAGTCAAATGTAAATTTAGACAAATAAAGAGGATCATGGTGATCGGATATTATGCGTAACCGCAGGTCCATCACCCTCCGACAAACTAGAAATGCCAGGAATCGTAACTGTATCAGTCCCGGTGGCTGGTCCTGCGATTACACTCCTCCATTAGTCAAGTAAAAATTCAGACAAATAACGGTGATGAAGATTATATGCATACTGGCGAGTCCATTATCCTCAGGTAAACTAGAGATGCAGGAATCATGACGGAATCAGTTCCAGTGACTGGTCCTATGATTATAATTCTTTGTCATTCAGATAAAAGACCTGATAAAATAAAGAGAATTAGATATATACCTGCAGACGAATCACCCTCAAAGGATGGTCCTGCAGCCCATCTGGTGGCCTGCTCAGCCAGCATGTCGACTAACAGTCTAATGTCAGATCCTGAGAAACTCGGTGCTGAGACATACGCTTGTTCCTCAAAACCTATATCATGGAAAGCCTCATCCTCAACTGGTCTCTCTAATACGGCTCTTGCATGAGAATTTAGGCGTTGGATATATACAAAAAAAAGACAGGGAAAGAAGGAAGAGCTCAGATGTACCTGCAGTAGTGGCAGAAGATTCTTTTACCCTGACATCCGTGTTTGGATTCTTCAAGTTATCTGAAAGAAAGAAAGGCACGGAAATAATTAAAGGAGAAATAAATCCTGAATTCCCTAACGCTTTCGGCTGCTACTCGAGTAGGGTATCATCGGATTTAGATATACCTAAGCATAGAATTGTTGGTTCATCACTATTAACCTGCTCAGTATCCATGTTCGCATCAACATCCATGGGCTTGTCATGAATGACATAACACATCTGCTGCACGAAGCTATCCAAATGATCAGAATCAGGGAATACAGAATCCTGTGGAAGTTCACCTTCGTCATGGTTTCCTGGAACATAGAACATGATTAAGTTTAGCGAATCCCAAAAGGTGAATCATCTTAAAGCAATAAAGACAATGGGGTATTACCCTCTTCCCCGCCAATGGTGCTTCCTAACTCTACTCTGTGAGTGCGCTGACCAGTATGTGGCTTATGAATGGTCTTCTTCCGTTTCGGAGTACGAATTCTTACAGAACCAACAGGTCGTTCATGCATGAACTTAGTACGCATCTCAACTTGTGCGGGAGCTTTGCCACTAGGCTAAGACCTCGCATAGCGAGAAGCAAGCGACTCGTGCTCGTCAACCATTCTACCTAGGGTGATAAGAGTCATCTTGTTAGGATAAGTGAATAAGACCTTTCGCTCTGGTTTTTGAAAAGCCAATTGAGATCTAGAAAGGATATGACGTTGATGCAAACGAAAGAAAGCCAGATCAGTTAATTCTGAAAAGAAAGAGTCTGAAAAACCTGCGTTAGGTTCTTCCTTATCAGTATCTATGTCCACATATTCTTCCTCAGAAGTCTCGTCCTCATTTAGGTTCTTCCTTATCAGTATCTATGTCCACATATTCTTCCTCAGAAGTCTCGTCCTCATCGTCAGTAGGAAGGAGCTCTTCATTCTTCCTCAGAAGTCTCGTCCTCATCGTCAGTAGGAAGGAGCTCTTCATCATCCTCCATCTTGTCTCTGATCAAAAGGGAGGGTTTGGCAGGCCTTTTCCCCTGCTTCTTTGAAAGCTCGGCCTTACGAGCAGCCTTGATAGTGATTTGAACCAAGTGCTCAGCTTCCAACTTTGAAAGACTCTTCACGCCTATAAACTCATTGGCAGAAAGGAACCACTTGCAGCTAAGAAAAGTAAGCAACGGTTTGCACTTAGATGAAGGAAAAGCGAAGTAGGCTCCAGTACAACCCACCATAGTCTAAAGCTATGCTCGGATGCTGTCAATAAGCCCCCCCTCAGTCTTCAAACCACGGCTCGGATTCCCAACATACAGTTGGTCATAACCGAACTGGCGAGCGAAGCGACACGGAAGGTAAGGCTCTATGTGACAACGGTTCTTCACCCGAAGAACAAGATATCCAACGCGGATGTTCACCAACCAACGGAAACAACCAACGTCCAGAGAAGTCCGACCAGTCCGGGGTTTCTCCTCATTAATCAACACATCATCGTAACGGCCCAAGAAGCGAGGAAAACACTTGAAGAACTCCCATCTCTTATGAACTTGGAGTTCTTGCTGTACATCAGTGAACGTCTTCCTGAACCATTTACTCCTTTCTAACAGCTGCACAAAAGGAACGGAGACATCAGCAGTACTAGGCGCCGACATCAAATCAGGATGATGAAGAACGAGCCACGCCATCAGATATGTATACGGAAGCTCGACCTTTACAGAAATAAGTTCAGTCGACGGTTCAGGACCCACCTGTGTAAAACCATTGACCAAATACCTAAGCCCATAATGGATGCCAGCAACCATCGCCGGAAGCAGAGAAAGCTCCCTCACGTAAGCTAGTTGAACGGCATGGAAGAGCACCTTAAGAGGTAAGGTGTCAGAAAACTGATATGGAACGACGTACTTCTTCAACCAGATGGCAAGATAACCAGCTAACAGAGTCCTGGGCTGAATAGACTTATGTGCATGGCCAAGAAATGTCCGAAACTTGGTCCCTATAGAAAAAGCTCCCTCAACACAGGCAGTAGTATAGGAGTAAGCTTCAGCCTTTTCCATCAACTCATTAATGGCAGAAGATGTCAAAATATCTAACTCACGAATAGTTTCGCTTGGACCGCTCTCCAAATGCTGGAATAGATAAACGGCGAACTGCTTCAAGCTGATCTGTCTCTTCCTCTTTGCCTGAGTGGTCACTTTGATTAGAGATGTGTAATAGTGACACGTAAGATCCTAGAGCGTGTCATACATATCAGGCGAATCCTTCTTTATCCACTCCAATTGCAGGTTCGAGGGAAAATACTCTTGGTACGGACAATCCCCCATTGGAAGGCTAGAAACCTTGTGCATCTCATGCAAAGCTAAACCTAACTCTCCACCGCAAGTCAGGAAGGTGTTACTATAAGGGACATATGTTTCTAATAATGCTAGAAAGTGGCGATAGCTGACCGGGAATCCATACATGGTGGCTCGTATAGGCGCATACAACCCGCTGCTTCTGAGTAAACCCAACCATCCCTTAGGTTGTGAGTAAACCCAACCAAAACATCTGAAATCTGGTGGAGGTAACTTCCTCCCAAGCTTAGCCAAACGATTCCTCACAATAGGAGCAGCTGCTGATACCTTGTCTGGGGGTGCGGTATCAAGACCCAGAATCCACGGTCGAAGACCGCGAATATAATTATGCCCATCGGAGCCTGGAGTCTTATGGTGGGAGATATGTTCGCAATGAACTCGATCGCCATCATCTGTAAGATTCCAGGACATTCGTCGCTGTACATCCTGCCCCTCCAAATGAGTAAAGGAATGCTGACGGAGAATGGAAGGAATATAAAGAAGAGCTCCTTCGTCATTATTCAACCAATGCTCATCAGCAAAAGTCAACCTAGCCGGATCCTCAATGGAATCTCCAAATAGATAACCAAGCCTCTCTAAAGCCTGAGTGGAAACGAAGTCTGCAGTAAAAGGAGCATCAGTGATCAACTGGCGTAACGAACGGTGTCCCTCATCTCATATCAGACGGCAGGACTCATCGGAACGATTTCTATCAAACTGAGGAAGTGGACCAATAGCCTGCCTGTTAGCAATAGAAGAGAAAACCTCCCTACCGCAACCAGTAGTAGCATGAGGGGGAAGACTATCCGCAGGGAATTCAACTGCAACAAAACAAGGATAGAGTTAGAAAATTATCCATGAATTATACAAGATTTAAATCCATCTCACAAGAGAGCGAGATAGGATCTTCCATTGGGCAATTGGCGAGACGATTTCGAGTGTCCTACACTGGAAGAAACGACGTGGTAACATACCCCGACCTACACAGTGTAAGACAACACGAAATCGCCCCAATATGCCGGAAGACTTGAATTGGCCAAATAAAACAAGTCTGAAACCTCGATCCCCGCGAAGGAGGATGTCGGCTCTTCCCGAATGACCCGCGAAGGGGCCAAACGAGGATATAGCAGAACCACGAATTTCCTGAAACCTTGATCCCCGCGAAGGAGGATGTCGGTTCTTCCCGAATGACCCGCGAATGGGTCAATCGGGGACACAGAAAGCACACAGCACACATGCTCACCCCCAAAAGAGAAAGTCGCGGAGGAAGATGCCGCGGAAGCCTCTCTCTCACTGTGCTGCGAAAGGGAGCGACTCCTGTGAAATCGTGGTAGGCGCGGAGACATGGAGAACCTGCAATGAAAATCGACGGGTCAGGTACAATCATAAATCTGAACACCCGAAAATTAAAAGGGAAATTAAGAACTTTAACTAAAATTCTATAAAATAAATGGGATTTTATAGTTGAAGTCTAATTAAACCTATGAGTTTTATGCATGAAAGATAATGAGCTCATATTGCGGTGTAAACCCTCATGATAATTTTTTGGTGAAATACCTAAAATACCCCTCGTGTTCAAGGCTAAATTCTAGTCAAGGACACGCTCGAATTGGATCATGATCATCGTGTTTGTTCACCTAACACCCCCAATATCTCACAATTTTGGCTAACTTTACAAATAAACCCTTCTGTAAAATTTAGCCAATTTTGCAAATAGACCTATTCACAAATTTTGGTCTAGTTTCCACATACCCTTCTCAAAATTTTGGCCATAGATTTGTGGTCTAAACTTTGGAAATTTTAGCCCTAAAATTTCAGCCCTTTTTGCAAATAAAACCCTCTACAATATATGGTTGTTTTTTTACAATTAAACCCCTCAACAATGTTGATTCTTTTGCATGAAAATACCCCTCAAAGTTGGGCCAAATGAGTGTGGAATTTCAGTCCCAAATTTCAGTCCACTTTTGCACAAAAGTCCTCAATTTTTAGTCCACTTTTGCACAAAAGTCCCTAAATTTCGGCCATATTGCACTTATTGCATGAAACTCCCCAAATTTTGATCCATACATACAATCCATCATCAAGATCCTATCTTTTTCACAAAACCTAACTCATGAGAACAAAAAGCTAGGATCTTGGCATATAAATTCATGTCATACTCCCATTACAAGCATAAAATTGCAATCTTTCTTAAAAAAGAGGAGAGTTTTGAAGGAGAACTTACCCAAATCAAGAAGCCTCCTTTGAGCTTGAAGATGAAGGAAAAACCCTAGCTTGAGAGGAGGGATTTTCGGCCAAATGAGGAGGATATAAAATCCGAATTTTATTTGGGGTTGAGAGTTTTTAAAGGGGAGAGTTTTAATGGGTTTGGAGTTCTTGAAGGATAGAAACCATGGTGTTTGGATAAGAGGAAGAAGAAGAGAGAGTTTAGGGGGGAAAATGATACATTTTTGAAAATTTGAAAGATGGGGAAAACACACACCACAAGAGACAAGAGTGTCTCGGTTTTTGAACCGAGACACCCAAGGGTGTCTCGGCCAAGGTTGAGACACCCGTGGGTGTCTCAGACCGGTTCGAACCCCCGGTTATGTTTTTCAAGCCCAAATCTTGCCCGTCTTCACCGGTTATTGGATATTTTGACAGAATCAACACTAATCAACACCGGATGGTTCAAAACCCTAAGGTCAACGCCAATCAATACGTAACGACAAAATGTCAACACCGGACGGTTCAAAACCCTAAGGTCAACGCCGGTCAACGCGTAACCCTAGGTCAACGTCAGTCAACGCGTTGTAACCAAAAGTCAACGTGCGACGTTCAAATCCTAAGGTCAACGCGTGATCCTAGGTCAACACCAGTCAACGCGTTGCGATGAAAAAGTCAACGTATGGTGATTTAAACCCTAAGGTCAACGCCGGTCAACGCGTAACCCTAGGTCAATGTTAGTCAACACGTTGCAACCAAAAGCCAATGTATAGCGATTTAAACCCTAAGGTCAACGCCGGCCAACGCGTGACCCTAGGTCAACGCCAGTCAATGCGTTGACGTGAAAAAGTTAACGTATAACGATTTAAACCCTAAGGTTAACGTCAGTCAACGCGTTGCCGTGAAAAAGTCAACGCATGACGATTCAAACCCTAAGGTCAACGCCGATCAACGTGTAACCCTAGGTCAACGCCACTTAACGTGTTGCGATGAAAAAGTCAACGTATAGCGATTTAAACCCTAAGGTCAACGTCGGATCAACGCGTAGCCCTAGGTCAATGCCAGTTAATGCGTTGCGATGAAAAAGTCAATGTATGGCGATTTAAACCCTAAGGTCAACGTCGGATCAACGCGTAGCCCTAGGTCAATGCAGTCAATGCGTTGCGATGAAAAAGTCAACGTATGGTGATTTAAACCCTAAGGTCAACGCCGATCAACGTGTACCCTAGGTCAACGCCACTCAACGCGTTGACGCGAAAAAGTCAATGTATGACGATTTAAACCCTAAGGTCAATGTCAGT